GTAATCTGAGGCACAGACAAGTATCTAACATAGAATGATTGGTACCAGGTGCTCAGTGCATTGTTGAATTACCTAGCCTGACCCTGCTTTGCTCTCTGCAGATCGAGATGGCTCAGAAGCTGCTGAACTCGGACCTGGCGGAGCTGATCAACAAGATGAAGCTGGCCCAGCAGTACGTTATGACCAGCCTGCAGCAAGAGTACAAAAAGCAAATGCTGACCGCAGCACACGCACTGGCCGTGGATGCCAAAAACCTGCTGGACGTCATTGACCAGGCCAGACTCAAGATGATCGGGCAACCAAGGCCGCATTAGTGTCCCAACCAGAGGGACGGGCAATTGGCCGAGTGCACGAGGGTAAATACAAGTGTGTTGTACTGCCGGATGGAGCTGATGTTGGCCAGACAGGAAAAAGACTTGGATCACCTGTCACACACCAGCAACGATGGACAGTTACACCTGTACCAGTACTGAAAAGCGGGAAGGAATTAAACTTCAATGAGTGTCCTTCTTCACTTCCTTCCAAGAACTTTTGAAAGACTACTTGGATTGCTTTCCAGACCAAGGACCTTTGAAGAACAGTCACACTTTTTGTTTTGATTGCGCCTATTGTGTGTGCTGATTGTACTTTTTTTTTGTATCAAGAGACACGTTCAGAATTTCAGTTCAGAAGCCAAGTCCCTATAGGTGGATAATCATCGGATCTGGAAAATGTCAACTGGAACCATCAAAGAGATCCAAGCTGTTGTCACGTTAGAGTTCTGGGAAACCTGAAGGTTGAGAATTCTTTAATCACATTTAAAATAACAGTCTTTTTATTATTGTGTTTTATTGTAACACAGTAAATATGCTAAACCAGACTTTCAGTGGAGGATCGTAAATATATATTTTGGAGGTTCAAGTCATTTCATTTTTTTTTTCCCCATCTCCTCTTTCTTAGAGGGGAAAGTCTTCTGAAGCAATGAATGAAATAAACTGCCAGAGTGGGAAAGTAAAGACTGCAATTTGTCTTTTTTGACAGGGATCTCATGATGGTTTTTGTAGTTAGGTTTGAAGAAAATAAAGCATTGAAATCATTGTGGGAAACGTTTTCTGGAAGCAAATTTGCTGGTTTTAAAGGGCATACCAGAGAATTGAGTGTTGTCTGGGGAAAATTCAAATCAAATGCATCATTTCCTTTTATATTTAAAAAAGACTAAAGCTATGTTGGATATTTTAAACACTGTAGTTACTAACTCATTTCCTATGTTCACATTCTAATTTCTCTATCCTTGCCCAGGAGGTTTTAAGGAACAGAGAGACACTTTCCCCTTTTTCTTACAACCTGCTATGTGTAGCATCTGTTCGTTAAAACTCACTCTGCTTTTGGGTATAAATTATTCTCAGGAAGAATATAATGACCTGTACAGTTCCTTGACTTATTAAAATGGTGTTATCAGTATACTTGTCTCTTGAAGGTTTCTTTGAATATATATCTATAAAACAAGTCCTTAATGTTTTGTACATCTTTGTTTTCTATTAAAAAAAATCAACCTAATAGTTGTTCACTTATGATGACCTTCGGTCCTTTTATTTACGTAAGAAGCACATTTCCTGAGAGGTCCTAGGACATTGTGGGGATCTTTTATATTAGCATCAAAGCATCATTGTTGGGATTTAGTGAACAAGTCTGCACCACTTATCTTTTCAATACACACAGCTTTTATTATTTTATCAATATGGAAATGCAAATTCTAGTACATTCTAGTGTCCTTGTAATTGTTCACTTGTTCTCATTTTGCAGTAACTGTTTCTCATTTTAACATTCCACACACTACAGAAGCATTCAGATTGAATCATTGTAAAAATCTTTTGCCGTAAGGTAAATTTAAGCTTATTAGCAATTTACAATACACTTAATTGGGCAATTGCTGTAAAGGTGGTCCTTGATCATTTTTATTAAATCATTAATTTGATCAATTTCTGTTTCAAATTGAAAGCCATTTTAGACACAGTACACCACTTTTATTACAGAAAACATGGTCACCAGCTTCTCTTGAAGATTGAGGTCAATTTTATACCGAATATGCTGCAGGAGGTTTTTTTCCTGACTTGTCTGTGGAGTTCAAAGGCGAAGGTCTGGAATCAACAAGTGGCACCATTTTCAAACACAACACTATTTCTTTGATGTAAATTGCATGTGTGATTTGCTTACAGTATTTTAATAGGGGCTGCCATCATTTAAATTGTGCAATTACAGTAATCCTATGCAGTTGAGGATGATTTTAATTTGGTCTCGGTTGCTAGATACAAGTTTTAGAGCAGAGGTTGGCAGCAGGTTTTATGTTTCCCTTGGCACGTCAATTTTCTTAACATTGGGAACAATTTAGTCTTGACTACAGAAGCTGTTCAAGTTTAAATTGCAGTATGGAAATATCACTTTCCAGCTCCTGACCACAGGTGAGCATTGCTAGCTTAATGGAACCAATTAACTTCTAATCATTGATCGAAACTCATGTGTTGCAGGTCTTTACAGATTGGTGCCCTACAGAGCCTGTCTCTTTATCCTTGTCTCTTTGAAACCAGGGTGATCAGGCCACCCCTGCTATAGACAAGACCAGCATGATGCGTTTCTGGCATTGTGCCCCAACTCTGTTAATTGACTTACCATCCAAGCTCAATTCTAATTTCCTCCAGCTCCAGGCTTTTTCGGACAAACATCTGCCGAGCTGACCAGTGTTGTCCAGAGCCGTTTCTGACTACCTGCGACTTCACATACTGCAGAGTTGGACAGCTGCTATTTTTGTGCTTGTCACTTGGAAATGGAGTGGCTGACTCGGTAAACCATGAACTTGTAAATATTTGTTTTTTGTAAGACTAGGCTATATCAGACCTCATCCTAAAAGCGGTTACATTACTTAACATTTACTGGCTGAACATTAGCACTCAGGCCATCTTTATACTTCAGCTGTGAATCTACTTATTGTATGTAGCTAGAGGAATTCAGGCATTGTCTTCCAATGAATCAAAAATATAATGGGAAACATTTACCCCCCTGCATCCAGTGGTAAAGCATTGTTGTAGACTGTATCTCCCTTATTATATTATGAAAGGCTGCCCTCTGCACCAGATATTGCTTTTCATAGTTTACTCAGATTATTTTGTGCAATTTGCTAAAAAGTAGTAGAATAGTCTTTGGTGTTTCATGCCAAAGCAAAATATTTGGATTCCCGATAGTAAAAAAAAAAAGTGGAATGGGTATTTACCATGATATGCTATCATTAATTATGTTCTATTTTCTTACTGTTTTAACATTTTATCAACTTGATTATTCATGAAACCTGCTTGTGATTTATAGACCAAATGCTTTGTTTTGTCACTGAAGAAGGTGGCATACCCGTTACATTTCCTTACCTCCTTATCACACCTGATCATGAGAAAATGAGACAACTGGGACAAATGTGTAGATCAATGTCATTCAATTCTAATGCTAAAAGCAGAAGTAGCTTTAACCTGAAGTGATTCACACTCCTAATATCTGTCCACAGAACTTTGGATCCACAGATTGTAGTTTTTAGCTACTACAGGACCTAATACTTTTACCACATTTATACAACTGATGAAATGTTTTTATATTTTTCCATGCCCCTAATAATACATTCTTGTATTTCAAAAGATATGGCCTTACTCTCAGCTTAGTATAACTAGTTTTAACTGATTGCATTCAGACTGAAGTGTTTCCAGTGGGTTATTGTACGACAATAAAACACATGTAAATTAAGATAACTTGTAATTGGTTTAGGGAAAGTAACACATCATGGTTTTTCTAGTGGTCTACACAATGTAGAGCTTTTAATCCAAGCTATTTATCCGTTTTCTAACCTTTTTATTCTATACAGGGCTACAGGTAATAACCACTATGTGCATGTAAAATTGAGCCTTATAGGGTCTGCTCACCTGCATTTCTGCTTTCAATATTTTATTGTTATTATTAAGAGTAATATTTGATCAGTCACCAGCTTCATTTTCAATTTGAATTAGTGGTCTATATTAAACAGAATTTCATAAAAGAGCAGAACTGAAAGGCTTCTTTATTGGGCTCAACTTTAAATACTTTAATTGGCAAGATTTTACGTTTTCTGAAACCTGATCCAATTAAATTAACTGAAAAGTAGATCGAATTTTTTGTGATTTTTTTTAAAGATTCTACTCAGTTTTACTAAACTTTTACATTTTTAACAAGATAGGTGGATAGGAACCAGGAATTCTGTTAAATGATTTCATATGTTAATGGGTTACACTGTAATGGCACTTTGGATTTGCTACATTAATAGAATCGCATACTATCAATGAGACATTTTTATAGATTTCTAGATAAATCAGTTTATAAGTTGGTAAGCAACCTTCCCAGTATTGAGCCTAGTTTTAAATGCAAGGCAACCTGACAATTTAACTGCCTGAAACAAAACTTTGCCTGCTGCAAAATCATCAAATTTGTTTTGACCTTTCTTCCCTCATAGATAAGCTAGAAAGGGCAGCATAAAAATAATTTCACAATTCCTATTCTAGACAGAGCATCTTGCTTGTTCTAGTCAAATGCCCAGAACTCAGCACAAATGGGGAAACCAATCGAAAATAGCCACAAAATGTTAAATGGTTTGTTCATCCGTCATACAGCTTAATGCAAGTTTACAGAAACTCAGATAATCACAAACCATTTAAACATTCATGTCTCTATTCATTTTAGCATGGTTCAACATTCAACCCCTCACAGCTTCACCAACATTCATCAAAAGAATTGGCACGTCATCTTAAACTGGATTGAACTTGAATTTTAGTTTCCTCCCGAGACCTGTATTACAATCCTGTTCAAACTGCAGGACATTGCCCAACTCTGAAACAGCCCTCCCAGAGCACCGCGTCATTTGTTGGGGACGGTCAATTCTGATCCATATTTAAAACTACCCAGCCACGCTGCCCTCGAGTCCAAGGACAATTATAAAAAGACACCAAGAGCAGGAGTCATTTTCAGTTTTTTATTTTTCCCAGTTTCTACAAAAACAACTTAGTCAAAGAGACCAAAGCCCATGTCATCGTCAGACTCCTCAGACTCTTCCTTCTTCTCTTCTTTCTTCTCCTCCTTTTCAGCTATAACGAGGAAAGTCCCAGTTAATTACAGTCAGCGCAGCAGGAATGACAAAATCCCGACTCCCCCATTCCAGGGGACCCTTCATTTACGCATCACGGCAGGAAAGCATGACAGGTACGCTTAACATTTCTTCAAAGGCTAACTATAGAATATGTAATTGAGAATATCATTTATCTGTAAGTTACCTGGTAAAGACACCCATAAGTCACATCATGGAACTGCTTAAAGCCTAAATTTCAGTCTGAAGAACCTTGATGACAAAAGCAGGCTCTTCTTTACCCAGAAGGCTGTGCGACGAAGGCGCCAACTACTCAGCCGTGTGACTGAAGACGATAACCTGGCTTCTTTCACAAAGCGACTGCAGGAGATCTGTGGAACAACTAGTTCCGAGCCTAGCTGGCCGAAACATCTCCTCTCATCTGTAACATTTCTTGACGTTCAGGTAGTTTAAAAAAAAAAAAACAACACAAGTACTCGGGGGGTAAACTGTATTCCGCAAGACCCCCCATCGTCGAGTCATCCTGTAACAGTGTGAGCCACCTTCCGTAAAGATAAACACTCCTGCTTCCCAAGAAAGAGCTACGAAACTTTTCTCCGGGTGGGCAGGGGCAGCCGGTTTCTCCCGGCGGGGGTCCTTACCTGGGGCGGCGGCGGCGGGCGCTCCGGTGGCGGCGGCGGCAGCAGCGGGGGCCCCTCCGCCAGCACCGACGCTGCAGATCAGGCTGCCGATGTCCACGTTGGCCAGGGCCTGGAACGGAGGAGAGGCGAGGTGAGAGGAGCGCAGGCGTCGCCCGCGGGCTGGCCTCTCGGCCGGGGAACAGCGGGGACCGAAACGGCGAACCGGGTTTGGACGTACCTACCTCCCACCCCCCCCAGGGCACTGTGATATTTCATTCGGGAAAAAAATCGTCAGCCGTGTCTCATGACCTCCTCCAGCAGGTCAATGAAATATTACATTACCTGCTCACACTAGACTGTATCCAGGGTGAAGACAGGGGATCTCCAATACCAGCACTGAAGGGCTGTTGTCCACAGGTTTTCATGACAACTCACTTTCTACCACACCCAGATCTCAATCTTCTGGCTAAACTGGATTATGTTAGCAATTTCCCCAAGCTCTTTAGGTGTTGGTGCTTTTCACAGATTGCAGAAAACCTTCAGATGATCCATGCCCAGGACTAGAGACCCTTGCTCACACTGCCTCTATTGAGCCCGGTTTCAGTCACCTGAGCTTCAGTTTGCAGTTTGTCATGATGAGAAAAGCATTTCCCCAATAGTTTAAAAAAAAAACCTACAGCACCATTAATTCTGCCACAATCTATTCTTTTTATATTAGACATCAAAGCAGATACCCATTCAATGAGCTTGGGTTTGAAGTAAAAGGCTCTTGAGAAAAAGGATTCTACCTCGTGAACTGCCATACTTTAAACTCCAAGATTGAATATGCTTCCTATACAAAAGCTATCGAAAGTAATTGGCCATTTAAAAGTTGTTCAATGTTAGTTGTCATGTATTCTTCCTGTTGACACGCAACAGCTCCTGTCTGTGTCTTAATCTTAAACTTCACTAATATTGACATTAGAAATCATAAATGCACCACTTTGATCACTGTACAAATTTCATCCATCTTTTTCATTAATGCAATCTTCATCTGAAAAAACCTCACGGTGCATTAATGATGTAATTAGTGTCAATTCAACTGTAAACAGTAATCTGCATGAAACAGACTAACTTTCAATAACTTTGGTGTTTAAGAATTGACCCAACTTTATAGCGCACAGGTAAAAAGAATTCTTAAAAAGAAGTGCATGTGTGTGTCTACCGTGGGTGTAAGCAAACGGGGCTTTTTCCCCAGTCTGGGGCGGAAAAGCTAATAAAATGTTAAAGGTGTTAAAGAAGCAGCAGGGTGAGACAGTACAGTAGCTCACCTTGGCAAACAGACCAGGCCAGAAGGGCTCCACTGTCACTCCGGCCGCCTTGATGAGGGCGTTGAGCTTGTCCTCCTGCAGAGACAGGGACCGAGTGAGGCTTCACATCAGCACGTCCACCCAAAGCACGCAGCAGGTGGGATTTATACTGGACAGTAACATCACAGGAAGCGAAACTGCACGTTTCATTCAACACCGTTAAAAGCACATTGCTCTCATCTGGCACCAACTGTACTGGCATCATCTAGGCAGAGTTTAATGCTGGTGATCGCAATTTAAGAAAATCATAACGGGCTGGAACACGTGCATCTAGAACAGTTATACTGGACAAAAACTACTCCTATAATACAGGATCTCTTGCAGCTCCCTGGGAGAAAACACGTGTCCAGCAGTATAACAGTAGGGCCCAAGGTGCAGGCCAGGTGCTCCACAAGCAAAGTAATGAAAACAACCATGAATGTTCATTTAAATCTTTAAACTAAAGGTTTAATCCTCTCCACTCACGGAGGAGCCAACTGTAATATCACTGCACTTTATAGTACATGGGTGATTTAACTACGGCTTGTAAAAAAACACTGACGCCAACCAGTCAAGTGACATTTTTACAAGCCACAAAGCGATTGGGACTTGTACAATCCGAGACCCAAAATGAACATATGTCAGCACTTTAAAGCATGCACCGCTAACACAAGCCGACACCGAAGCTGTCGTGCGAAGGCAGTGGACCACATGAAACACTTTCCGCCTCTCCGCCATGTTGAGTTGGACCCGTCTGACAGCGGCCGGGGGAGACTTACTGTGACGGTGACTTCATCATCGTGGAGGATGAGAGCCGAGTAAATACAGGCGAGTTCGGACACGGAAGCCATTATTCTCGAAGGTGGTAGGGTTTTTGGCGTTGGATGCCTAAATAAAGGAGTGCTAGTCGCCGGATTCAGAGGCCTTAGCTTCAGATGAAGGACCGAGCACCTTAGGCACCAAACGTACTGGCTCAGCGGGAGCGGAAAGAGGAAGTAGAAGGGCGGGGATTAGCTATTTGAAGTGAATGTGACGTCACGCTAGCCTTGGGCGGAGAAAGACAGCGGGGCCACACGTGTGCGCTTGTGCAGGACTGCGGGCTGGTGGTTTTTAAGTTGGTGTTTCTGAGGTTGTTGAGAAGTTACCCGTACACAAATATGATTTTTTTTTCTTTGGAAAATCGTGTAAAGTAGTGTATAAAATCAACACTTTTATAATAGTGTCGGATCTGGGTTTTTTTAGTCCATCTACATTGATGAAGCTTACATTATTAGATCCTTTGGTACTTCGGATGCGTGTAATATTTTCTGATTGTAGACAGATTTTCTTACGGGCTCCATGGTTTACTTTGTTTTTTTGGTTTAATTAGGGGATCCTGATTGGGGATGGGTGCCACGTCTCCGTACTAACCAGGGCACCAGGGTTAAAACGCTAGTAAGTTGTGTATATGTGTCAATATGTACACATTTTCAGCCGATCAGACTCCTCCCTGTCCACCACCTTCACTCCTCCTGGTCGTGCCTCCAAGTGATCCTCTGTTAGATTTGGGCACTGGCTGATGTAACGTTAATATTCAAACAAGGACTTTTAAATCAGAAACCGAACTGTCCGAGGGCAACCCTATCCATTTGAAATGATTTCTTCGCTATATGCGTTAATTTTATTTCGTAACGCGGTGTGTTTGAATCCAGCGAATGTTTGCATTTCATAAGTTGGGACGGAAGCAAAATGCTAAAGGATTACAGTTACAGTTGTATTGTAAAAGGAGAGCTCAGGATTCAAGTGGTTGCCACCGTCGACGTTTCTAGTGTGTGTGTGTGTGTTAGAAAAGATGGGTGTTTAATTTAGAAAAATAAAAGTTATCCGATTGGGTGTTTCATGCGACAACGTCCCTGAAGTAAAGGCCATGTTAACATCCGCGGAGGGGATCCCGAGTCCAAGAATGACTTTTGTGTCTGCTGGTTCTCTTCATAGCATCAGTACCTGAAGAGCTGGGAGATGTTAGCAAATTAGTCCAATTAATCCCTGAGTAACTTGATTCAGGTCATTAACTGGAACGAAACACACTCCCTGACCAAGGGAATCTTCATGTACCAATAAACAGGTGAGTTGGGGGAAAAAAGAAAATAATTCAGTCTTGTAGTCAAGTTCAGATTTTCAATGTTTTGTTGTCACTTATCATACATATCAATTTTACAAAGTGTGTTAGTCATCTACTGCTCCTGGTTTTAATCTTTCCACGTTTCTCTTTGTGTAAGCAGTTCATCTAAACATAAGATCAGGAATAGGAAATAATAGTTAACATGGTTTATTTTATGAAACACTCAGAAAAATCTTTTTAACTACAATTAGACAAGCACTTTTCTCTGTTGTACTCAGACATAGTGATGGAATAGAGACAGATAGAGCTGTAGGGTCTTTCAACATCCTGCTGCACAATTGCAGCTATTAATAGATCATCTAATGACTTGTTAATTTACGTGACACCGAATAGCATTTTTTTGGCTTCAAATATGGAGTTAAAACAGTAGCTCGGGGGTTATCGTACTGCAGGCAGTCTGAGCTCAGGTGCCTGCTCTCTGCTGTCAGGTTTTGCTCAGGAGGAACAGTGAGCTCAGGGGCAGGGCCAGCAGCAGAGAGCTGAGCCTGGCTGTGGTGGAGCCATTGGCGTTGCACAGGTTCGTCTGGCAGCAGGTCACCTGGTTGCGGTTCCCAGACGAGTCCACACTGGAACCGGACGCGGCCGCAGAGCAGGTGGTCTTGCTCATGCACGCTTTTACAATGGCCTTGATGTTGCCTACAGACGCAGAGAGAGAGTTTAATCGTGGCAAAACAAAACAAAAAGAGAGACAGAAAGTAGTTCTGAAGTTTCGTAGCTTGAAATATCCACTAAAAGTAGTTCAGATGGGTAGCTGCGTCAGCATGCGTAGGCTGCAAAGGAACAAGTAATAGGTTTATTCCATGCTGAAAAAAAGAAGAAAGAAAACAACGTTTTGGCTGTGGAGCCTTCTTCAGGTGTGAGAAAGATAAGGCAGTAAGCAAAGGTAATGCTTGTCTTTCTCACACCTGAAGAAGGCTCCACAGCCTAAACATTTTATTGTCTTTCTTCTTTTTTTCAGCATGGAATAAACCTATTACTTGTATATTTACTAGAAGTAGAGTAGAGAGAGAGAGTAGCAGAGTAGAGGAGTTTATTGCCCTATGTACATTGGAATTCTTATTCATGGGTCGTATCCTCTCTCTCAGGACATACAGTACAACAGACTGCACCACACAATGTAGCACATCACAAACACAATCAATGACAAGAACAGGAACCATAAATATGTAGTAGTGAAAAAAAAACATGGCAGACCAATGCAAAAAGTGCACATGCAGATGGGCGTAGAGTCTGAGGCATTGCAGTCGGCTGTTGAGGATGCGTACTACAGTGGGATAGAAGCTGTTCTTGAGTCTAGTGGTCCGTGCTTCAGTAGTGTGGCACTGCTTGCCAGAGCGCAGGGGGCAGAACAGTTTGTGACCGGGATGGTGGGATGCAAAATGACATATTATCATCAGTGGGATACTTTTTACCAGGTACTCCAGTAGCAAGGCTCTGTCCAGGGGTCATTCCTCACAGATTCATAAACTATCAATGCAATTGTATTCAGAAAATAAGTAAACCGAATTGAGACTAAATGTATAAACCCTTAATTCTCTCACATCATTACTTTTACGTGAAGCTGAATGGCCACTCTACTTAGTGCTCTGGCTTAAGCAGCTGTTGTTTTGTTTTCTTTTTCATTTTTGTAATGTGCCAGGCAACTTACAGGAGCAACCATTCAACATTTAATAGTGCAGACACTCTTATTACCCATTAATGTCCAGTCGGTCCTTCATGTTCCGACCACACTATAGTGAACGCAGTTCTAACTGTTAGGAAATTTGAATTCTCGCGTCCAAGTCTCAGTTGAAAAGAGACAAAACTGAATTATCAAGCACGTCAAATGAAAATCCACTAACCAGAGACCAGGCTTTCGGTCAGGGGTCCCAAAATCTGGGCCTGAAGAGGCCTACAGACCTCCAGGGTTTCATTCCAGCTGAGCTTAGTTACCTACCTGAAGCTTTAATTGAATTAATAAGCTGCTTTGCTTGGGATATTTGCAAGTACTTTTTCGCCTCAAGAGTTTGGGATTTGTTTGAAATGCAATGGTTAAAAGGCTGCCTCCAGTAGGGTTAAAATCTGCAAACCGTCACACAGTTCATCCCATTATTAAGTCAATAACAAATTCAATACTGTAACAACTTGGCTGGAACAAAAACCAAGAGGTGTGTTGGCCACCGGGCACAGTATTGGGAATTATTTTTGTAAGGAGATTCAATCAAGAATGTATATCACGTAAATAAATATGGTGGGAATGAAATTTGTACATCAGAAATGGTAAGCAGAATATTACTCACACCTCAGATTATTTTGTAACCCTTTGGGACAGCATTTTATCAAAATTTCTCTTAAAGGAAACCATCTCCCCTACAGCTAAAGTGCCGTGTAAATGCATAAACTTTGCTATTGCCGTGCAGTGCTTTATTTTTTAAATCTGTAGATGTTTCTTCTTTATAAGCCAGGTGTTTCTTATGTATCATTCATCATATGTATCATAGATCATCTTAAATATCACTTATCATCGGCGATCGCTGCACTCGATCCTTGTTATAAGAAACACCTAATAAACAAAGGAGAAGCCAGATTTTTACAAGTTGCTGAGGCTTGGTGTTTGTTACCCAGTTTATAAACAGGTAAGCAGGATTATTGACATGATTACATCTGGCCATCCTCCAGGAGGAGAAAGACATGTGCACTGTCTACTGATCAGTCTCAGTTTCTCACCTGAAGTGACTACAGTTGTCATGCATGTGTCCAGGGGGGCCTGACAGCTCTGTGTGTTCTTGTTGCAATCTTCATTGGTAGATGTCGATGGACACACATAGCAGTCTAATGCAACAACTGAGAAAAAGGAAAATGGTGTTTTCATTGACTAGTGCCAGTTACTAGTGAGGCAGTTGTAATAATTATGTACTTTTGTGTAGGTGCACCAAATAAAGACAAAATTCAGATTCTCACTCTTTTTTTTAAACAGTACAATTAATAGGGGTGGTAAAGTCTCTGAAATAAAACCACAAAATAAATTAGCTTATTTGTTATTAAAAAATCTGAGACAAATCTGAACAGTGTGTGGTCCATGGCATTTTGCCTCTTCATAATTTTAATGAACGTAATCAGAAGTTACTATGACACTGACTATGAAAATAACCCATTTGTGTTAAATGATTGGGAAACAATTTTTCTGATTTAAAATTTTGTGATTGTAGGTTTCATTCACTTTAAAAGTCAGCTGTACATTGAAAGTGAATTATGATTCAGGGATGTCTACAGTATGTCCAATAATACCACTGTCTTAACCGAAAAAATAAATCAGACAGAAATGTTTTAATGAAAACCCCGATGATTATTTATGCTTTCAGGTTAGTTTTGTTTTGTATTTAATAATTGAGTTTTAACAGTTACGGCTTTCATATTGCAAATTGTTCAAAACATGAGATTTTTAAATCAAGGAAACCTTGACATGGTTAGTTTTACTTTGAAAAAAGGTTGTTGTTGTTTTTTTTTTTAAAGTGTAGCTTTAATATATGGTTTCACCTGATGAAAAGTTTGAGTGAATCCGATTGTCTCTATGCTTATTCTGTACCATCTCTCACTCAGATACCATGTAGAGGTATTGTGGTCTACCAGTAGGTGGCAGTGTTTTTCCAGCAATCCTGTGATTGCTGGGCGTGTCACGTTTACTTAATAGTAATGCTGCAAATGCAATGTTTAATTAGTTTAAATGTAATACAATAAAATAATTGGCACTTATTATCGGTAATGAAGAATTATAGAGTCCATAACACTGGAATTACACTTTTTAATGGATTTTTAAATTCCAATTAGATGTATTTGTATAGATTTGCCTTTATAATTTTAAAATTAAAGTTTATTAATTTAGTGCTTTCCTTCCCAAAGTATTCTAAAAGAACTTTTTCATGTACGAAACTTCCCATTTTATCCACAGTTTATCCAAGTGCAGTATCAACCTGAATAATTCTGAGTAAACCTGAGGAATTTAGAAATGCATCACTGACTCAATTCAATTATGGGAGAGGTAAACCAGATTGAGTTTTCCTCAAATGGAGTTTATCTAAAACTTAAGAGCTAACATCCCTACTCTTCCAAATTGTGCCATGGGATCTTCAAAGACAATTTGGTCAAGAACTCAGTTTAATGGCTCATCCAATGGCTGGTACCTTCTACTGCAAAGTGTCCCTGATCAACGTAGGTCGGTATTGTTTGGAAATATAACCCAAAATATTTTCCCTACAAAGATAATACACACAGCAACACAGCAAAATACAGTAATGCAGATTTTTATCATTCACTACGAAAACTCCTCTATCAAGAATGCTGTTACAAAACCTCTGAGTCAGTGACACTGGATACACCAAGAGTGCATTAGGTGAGGGAGAGGATCCTATTTGCAATAGAATTTAGAATTATATTCTAATTTTGAATGTATTAATTTAGAATATTGTGTACGATTCTGGTCACCACTTTATCGAAAATATATTATTTCTCTGGAATCAGTTAAGAAAAGAGCAACCAGATCCGTTTTGGGACATAAAGGAATGTCCTAAACTGACAGGGCGTGAATCAAACTGAAACTTTCTAGTGTAGAGCAGAGAAGACTATGAGGGAAACTGATACCAGTATTCAAAATCCTCAAAAGCACTGACAAAGTCAAGCAGGGTTAGCTTCAGAAAATGTCTAGGAAATGCAGGACTGGAGCAAGTTTTCCACCTTTGGATCCAGAAATGGATTGAACTGGCTGCACGCTCAGCTTTCACAGAAATCCCAAGTCAGACTGTGTCACCAACACTGTCCACATACATATTTACCATCCCAAATGAAATATAAGCTGTACACTTAAGGCTGTATGTTATGATTCCTTTCTGTCTCTCTTACATACAGTACAATAATGTATTTGATCTGTTTTTTAGATTTATATCATTGTTATTGCCAAAATTAAAAAAACAGTCATTAAAAGTAGAGCAAATTAGAAGTAATTTGTCAGAAGCTCAATCCTGATAATTACCATTGAAGAGTCAGAGTTTAAACAGGTAGTTACCAGTACTATATTGTATATAAACATACCGTACAATTAAAGAATACACTACCATAATAGTAGTTCAGTCAGAGAATTTACCTGAAGTGACATCAAGACAAACAACTAGCAGGGGAACCAGGATAATCTTCATTTTTGGTCTTTCAAGTCCACCAGTGACAGTGCTCCTGCGTGTCTCCTCTGTGCCTCTGTGTACAACAGACTCCACTTACAATTGGAGGATCCACCCACACTGACACAAAATCTTGTTCTGCTCTCCTTGAGTTCATGTACAGCAAATCAATACTCAGAAAAATGGAAACTGAAATTAACCCCCCCTCCCAGTTTGGTCAAATTCGGTACATAGCCTTGTGATTTAAAAATCTGGTGTTACAGAGTTTTTTTTTAATCTATCAGCAGATATTGTTCTGAACTGTGTTATTCTATTTTATTTCAGGACTTTAAAACTTGTACAGTGTATAGCATTCATACATACTTGCACAACCTGACTTGTAGAAGAGACTCAATAAGAACTGGATTATTATTTTTTAAAACCTGATTAAAGTAACTAAGTCAATTTATTCTGATATTTTACATGCAATAATAACTAAAACATAAAGCATTTTTACATATTTGTGTCATTATTTTACGAACAAATCCCAACCTTTAGCATTTAATGTGTCACTAATACATACAAATTGTCGACTGTTTGTTTATGCAATATGTGGATTTTTACTTTTGAATATTGTGGTTCTCATTCTTTTTTTTCTTTACAATATCTGTAATACACTAAAAATGTTGCAATATGGAGCAATATGTTAGGAATATGTTTTCAGTTTTTCTCAGTGAACGAAATATTTTAGAATGTTACAGAACCTCCACAACAACTGCCTGTCACCAAGCTTATTATTTCTGTTATAAAGGAATGCAGAACACTCCCATCATTGAAACTACTCCACTTCTTCTGTTTATTTTTTTAGGACCAGGTGAAATTGTGATCTCAAATGAAACTCGGAGAAGATAACGTTTATTTGTGTAATCTTCATCCAAGTGCTCCAAAATGTCATATTGAAGAGCTATGAAAATAATGCGGGATTAATCTGACAATAAGAAAAGACACTAGAGGTTACAGCCCACAGTGAAGTACATTCTAAATTGAGGCCACATCTCAGGGCTTTTCAGAGCATTCATAAGGAGAGAGAGCCTATTTTTACAGAAAATCCTTTTCAGTTAAATGTGCTAAGCTTTCAGAAGCATGTTGTGTTTAATAGGGTGTCTGGAGTATTATGTGCTCACTGTACTGCATCCTAATAGTTTGATCTACCTCACTGCATTGCACTGGAAGTGTTTTGCTTCCTGTTACACACCAACAACAAAAGCCCTTCTTGTAAAGAAATGTTTCGCCATGTGTTGTGAAGAAGGTTCTTGTGCGTTTTCTGATTCTAGAGCTACAGAATGCTAGATAATTATGGTTTACATGGTTTATGTTCCTTGAAGACAAGGTGAAATGCATTCGATTGCTGTTGTTTAGGCTGTCAGGGCTCCAACACCTCTGCATAGTTGCAAGTATTTGTAACATAGACACAGTCAATAAAAATACATTCAGTTCTTACAACTGATACAGTGTAGATATATTCTGTTCCAAATACAAGTCTCCGTATCTGAGAGTTAGGTTCTGGTTCTGTTTCAAGACTGTGGAAGGATCTCCAAATCCATATTAGAGCTCACGAGTCATTCAGCCATTAAAACTTAGTCAGTCTTATAACTCCATCCATCCATTTTCTAAACATTTTATCCAGTACAGGGTTGCCTTAGAGCTACCAGACACACCTAATGACACAAACAAGACTGGCTTATTACAGTGCCTGCCAGAATTATGGGCATCCTTGGTAAAGATGAGCAAAAAAGGCTATGAAAAAATATCTTTGTTGTTTGTCAGCTGGACCTTACACTAAAAATATGAGAGAAATCGAACCTTTCAGTGAGGCAAAATTATTCAAAGAAAAAAAAATCCTTATAAAAAATATAAACTTTTTATTCAAACATACGGGCACTGTATGTTTGAAAAAAATAAGACTGAATTCACTTCAGAGTCTTAGAAAAAATGAGCATTTGCCACCTCACAACCCCTGTATATTGTGCTATCCTGGCACTTTTTTAAAAATAAATTTAAAAAATATTTTTTAAAAAAGCACCTGGATAATCCACAAATAATTTCCTACCTGCAACTTCAATGGAACACTTGGTGGGTCTTACACAGCCTGGCGATCCTTGATATCAGAAACAAACTTGTATCACCCTTCACTGCCAGTTTTTGCTGACTTTTTCTAGCACTCACTGCAGAACTGTCCACCTTTGCATAAATATGTCGCTGCAAACAGCAACAGTACTTTCAAAGGAAACATTTCCCTAGATATTCAAATTTGTCTCGCAACCAGAAGCATCCACTGCTCCGATACTTCTGGTGTCAAATGCCATCATTACTCACATAAATTCATCTTCTTCGTGAAACGCTCACATTTCTGATCCAGCTGATTGGTAGAGACCTTTCCATCATCCATTTACTAACCTCTTCTTTCAGGTCAGAGTTGCAAGTCCCAGCAAGCAGTGGGCACAAGGCAGGGTGCAGCCTGGACAGGATGCCATTCCAGCGCAGGCCAGACACACAAACACAGACACACATACTCACAGCAGGACCAATTTTCCAAGAACCCAATTGACCTACCTAGTGTTTGGACTGTGGTAGGAAACTAGAGCACCTAGATGAAACCCATGCAAACTTAGAGAGAACATGCAAACTCCATGCAGATAGTCCCCCAGGTCCAGAATTGAACCCAGTGCAACAGGGCTGTGAGCTAGCAATGCAGACCACTCTTTTGCTGTCACCCACTAACTTTATAACTCTAGCTTTTAATTTTGTTGATTTAATGTTTTAATCTGTAGACCTGTGTGTTTTGGTTTGTTCTGTTGTATAGCACCCTGATATGATGTCCTGTGAAAGTACTATATAAATAAAGGCTGTCAAGATTAATACTAGTAGTAATACTGAAATGGAACAATTAAAGGTTCATTTCATGCTGATAAGTAGAAAAATAATGTCAGCATGGAATTAACCTGTAGGATCTCCTTTACAGTAAATAGAGCTCCCCATTCAAAATCTTGAAGCATTCCTTTGTAAGCGTGTAAATTTCCATTTCTTTAATTACACAGAAAATCTAAAAGTTTTTTTTTTCCACAGAGATGTTTTACAGGTACCTGGATAGGCCTTCCAGAAAATATAAGAAAAAGAAAAAAAATAAAAATCAAATATTGTTTGTGTATGCATGGAGACAAAAAAAAACTAGGTGTTAACTTTTTTATGATTGTGTTGGACAAGAAGTTACCGAGCCTGTTTTTTTCTTATTGTGTTTTGTTCAGTATATTATATACACACCCAACCGATTAAAACATAAATCGCTGTCTTTTTGTACACTGCTATTGTACGAAATTGTTCATACGAAACTTTACTGCTGCCTAGCAATTTGTATATTGTTCTGGGACATAATATTGATATATTTAAAGACTCAAAGGAATAAAATCATAGGAGATCGTTCAGTCTTACAAGAGATTTCATAAAACTCCAAACTGATTTGCTTTCCCAATACTTTAAATAAATATCAGCACGATGTTAACAGTTACACAAATACATTTGTGAAATGAAAACCTTACAGATGTAGGTGAAATGAGATATTTATTATTGCTAATCTTTTAGGTTTAATTTTATATTTAGTGAAAAGCCATTGAAAAATCAAATGGAAATGATCAAATGTCATCAAACACAACATACCATATTTTTTAATGGTAATAAATATCTTATTGGCACATTTCTTAGGAAGTCAGAAAGTTCTTAACAGCATACTTTAATATTCAGTGACTTTTATTGTTCCGTTTTATTTGCACCCATGTTTACATGAAGAATTTCCTTGTTGATTTTATTGAAAATGATGTCAGCTAAAAATAACAATGATGATGGTTATTAATAATACAACTATTTCAACTGAAAACAATTGACCCTTAATTGAAAATGAAGACCGTGAGCACAGAGTAAACGCAAAACTACAGAGTGACAAATGGAGATGGATACCGGTATAATTATTATCTGTATGTCACCACAGCGACTTGTATAATCAAGGCCAGACAGATATAAAATAATTTTATGGAATTATGCATTCATCTACCACAATGAGAAGCAGTTCCCCTGTTTATTTTTAAAGAAATAATCTATTTTGGACTTTCTCCAACATTTTAATGTGCAAGGTTGTATTTTTATTTTTAGTTAGTGTCATGCATCAGGAAATTTCTTGTGTAAATTAAAAATGGAATGGTGCTCAATGATGTAATATATCAGAATACAGTAGTTTGAAAGAGTATTGCAGTATTAATTAAATCTTAGTATAGTGTAGATGTATTACGGACGCGCCTCGCTGCCATCAAGGAAAAAAATTAATGTGTATCTCGTAATTGCGTGAACATTATCTCATAATTACGAGATGGTACATTACCGCGTACTCAATGTGATAATCACGCTATAGCATAATTTTCACAAAATATCTACATTATCCCTAGTTGGCTTTCATTTTTGAGCGATTGCACGGTGCACTTTGTTGTTTAAGGATAAGTTTTGGTTTCTTTATGTTAATAATTGATAAAACTGAATATTGTAACATTTAATTGTGACTAAACCCTTGTGGACCGTCACTCTGTGCACATTTTGCAGCTGAGCGGAATACTAAGCCCTCAGTCTCAGCTGAGCTCTCGGTCGCTTCTGGGTGCTGTCAATTGCACAGTGCAACAGGTTGTTCACACACGCAGATGATGATCTGTATCTCGTAATTACACCACCAAGTAATATCTCATTAGAACGAGATAATTTGTTCGAAATTACGTGATACACATGATTTTTTTTTCTTGATGACAGTTTCTGTAGTATTTAACCCATAAAAATGATATTTCAAATAAAAAGGGGATTTAAACGCCAGTGAGTTATTACCACTCTCATATCTTTTGAGAGCACGTCCCCGTCCACACGTCCAGTGGTATTCTGATCGGCCGGTAAATAAAGTGACCAGATTTTCAAGTCAAAATGAGATGAGGCATTCAAAGGGCTTTTATAATGGGGAAAACAGAACCCTTCTAACAAGACGGCAGCGATTCGTGGGCGAGCAAGACACCGCCGCTGTCGACCAGCAATCTCCGCTGGTGCTTTCACGCTGCCCCCGTGGTGACCAGCATAAGCAAAACGGAGGGCAGCCCCAGAAGCAGGAGGTTGAGCCTCGTCAGCTCGAAGCCGCTGACGTTACAGAGATTAGTGGAGCAGCAGGTGACTTGCTTGCCGCCGATCACAAGGTTGACGTTGGTGGCCGCGGCGCTGGCGCACGTACCGGCGGTGGAGCACTCCTTCGTGATGTAGTGCAGCCCCACTGCGGAGGGAAGAGGGAGCAGAGGAGAGTCACTTCGCAAGATGCAATAGAGAAAATGAACATTTGTTCGTAGTTGATCTTTTAGGAATCATATAAGATATCGCATTCGGAAAACAAGATCGTCTAATGCTACCCCCTCCTTGCATGCTTTTAAGATGGAAGTGCAATTCTCAGCTGCGTTCAAAACGTTCAAATGCCATTGGTATTTGTAAAAATATAACTGGTTGTGCTCAGATTTTTAATGACCTCTGGCAGTTTGACCTCTATTTGTCTGCAGTAACATACCAAACGAAACAAGGGGGACAAATTGATTTTTGAGCTATTTTCGTGTTTCTTTCGTCGAAATAATTCTTGTACTTCTATGTACCCACCTTATATACTACGCTGTATGAACACTGGGGCTAGTAGTGGATTACAGCTTTGTTAATCGGTGTTGCCGCGACATGGTCTTGTTACTTACGGACGTTGGTGACGGTAGTCATGCAGGTGTCTCCCGTGGTACAGTTCTGTGGGCTCTGGTTACATTGCGTGTTGCTCATAGTGGAGCTACAGACGTAGCACTGCAGCGCCTCCACTGGAATTCAAATACCGACAGTTACTCAGTGGGTACATCAGCACACCTCTCTTCCCCAAACGTGCATTGCAACCACTTGAAGAAAAAATATTACGGGCGACACCTCCCCCGTTATTATAAAAAGGGCCAGAATACAGAACTTAGGCCTGCTTCAATTTTATACCGGGGTACTAATATAAATAATCACTGATTGCATTTGTATAGAGCTGTTTTAATAGGACTCATGAGATCCACCTGGAGATTTTGAAAGCACACCTAAAAGAGCTAAAATGTTTTTTTTTTAAAAAAGGTGACAGCAAATACTTTCATCCCTTTACTGACTTGGTTTACAACAGAACACTTAATACGCGATTACATTAAGGAGTAAATGTTTGAAAGGCATCATGAAAAACAACCTGTAAGGTTAATATGATGCTTAATGCATAGTTAACATGCAACAGGCTATGGTAATTTGAAATAACAGTGCTGCTCTCTATATGTAGCAATCAAAGAGTACTGGTTTCGTTTCTTTTACTATCATTGCCAGGTTCTTATTGGTTCAGTTCAAATTTAAAACACCACGTTGTTATCCGCCTTGAACTTGATTGGAAAAATACACGCACCGCTAATTTCCCCGTATTGCAATAGACTGTGTAACGCTGAAAAAACGACTACGAAGCCCATACATAATCTGGAACGACAACTGAAAACCATACAATAAAATACGGGATTTTGTGCCACCGAACACGAAACTGGGGTAAATGGGGAATTTCAGAAAGAATATTCCCGGTTGATGTATTTAGTAATGCAGTGCATTTAGTAGTAGTAAGCATTGTTAAATGCCCGTGTGGAACAGAATATAATTCTTTAAATGTTTTATAACGGAACAGCTCACTTTTCTGTCACTGAAGCGCAAAACCCTTCAGCTTCACCTGAAAAAGCGTGGGTATAACTATTTGTTCACCATGGTAATAAGCCTGTTCTTGACCTAACATCTCTATTTTGTATCGCTTAATGCTAATTAACTATAATCAGCTCTTAGTTTGCATTCGTTTTAAGTATCATCAGCATAGTGCTCATTTATAATAATCTACTTTCATAGTAGTAACATCCCAATTAAGTCTTTTAAAAATGATTAAAGATGCAGAGCGGTTCCACAGTCTGGTGCTTCGCCACGGCATTTAGACTTAGTGGGCGCGGGAACCGACTCCTTAAATGTAGTCTGGCACCCTAACATCTCAACATTCACCTGGGCTACTTCACCTCCCCGAGCTTTTTAAGTTGCGCATAGGTACCCAGTGCATTTAGTGTCAGCCTGTCAGTTTTTTTTTGCTTTTCGACCCGTGTTTATTGCCTGTGGAAGCAGCTTGGCCACATCGGTGCAGACCTCGTCAGGTCTCCGAAGCCAGGCCACGCTGGGCCCGTTCAGCAGCGGGATGAAGACGGCCAGAGGCGCTGGTGGACTAGCAGGCGGCACTGTTTCCAACCAGTGTCCCTGGATGGGGACCGGGGGACACTGTGCTGTCGGGGGTGCCGGGGGCCCGAATACTTGGTTATCAAAGATCCAAATTCACGTTTCAGGAGAGTAAACGTATGAACCCCGTTCTCCGGGCCAAATTCCACTCTGGCCTCGCACAATTCCACCGTCCTAAAATTCGCCCTCAATTCGAGTTCGCAATGTCTCACTTTTCCTCTTGATCTGCTAAGTAGTGTTGGTAATCTAGAAGTTGCTGAATACTATCAGAGCTAGATGCATATAATATGGTGACCTATATTACATATGTGAAGAGTTTTGGGATAGTTTGAAAGTTACTTTAAGGTGTTCTATTTAATTATTGAATTGCGTCCCTAATATTACAGCAAGGTACCGCAGATTAAAAATTAACAGTAACATTTAATCCAAATACCTCTCCAGCGCCTATCTAAAATTGTGAAATATTCTTGTTTTCAAAATGTTAAGTTCTATGAATAACGATAGAGATTACTACTGTCCGTCAGCGGACATGTGCCTAAATTTCGTATGTACATCGTTTCAGGGAAAAGTACAATTTTATATAATCTTATAATAGTATTGTAATAGTAATATCGTATCAGTCGTACAATCCACTCATACTAAAATTGTATTTTGCTATACAGGGAAATTCGCTATATCTTTTTTCTGTGTTCACATATTTTGTACTATAGTCTGTTCTCCCTTCTCTTTCAGTGACTTGTACTTTTCCTAATATGTTTTAAACATTCCATCCTACATAAAACCCCTCATTTTTGTTTCCACGAGAATGCTAAAATAACCAATTAAGTAAAAGTACTGTACCTGAAAGGGTGCTCATAGAGACCAGCAAAAGAAATGCTAGACCAGTCTTCATTTTGGGGAATTCTTGAGGATTTCAGAATAGCTGTAACTGTCTAGTCATATACTTACGGATCGCCAGCGTCTTCGCAGTATCTGTCGATTTTTTCCTTAAATACTGATATGTGTTTTGAGTTGTTGCCTAGATAGTGTTAGGTGAATCAGTTCAAAACGTGATATTTGATACGACAGCTCAACAGGTAAGTTGAAAACCTACCAAATCCCCGTACATATAATTAAATCAAAACAAGACCGTAACCATTGTCTTTTTGTTTTTTATTACTCTGTTAATGTTGCAATTATTATAGAATAATGGAGACATTTGCGTCAGCGGATTGGATCATACATTAAAAAATCAGAATTTGAGTTTATCTATCCTCAATATAGTTGTAACAATAATTACATTTCAAAATTGGTTTGGAAACCTTTGTGGCAGAAAAGTTGTGTGGTAGAAAAATCGTGGTTGAAACAGTGTACCAGTACCAGTTAACCCAGGTTCATTTTCCTGGTCACATTATGTGTTTTTTTGTTGTACATTATGTGGTAACTGGGGGCTGGAAACAGACTTGTATTGTGTGCAGTGTCCGTGTCAGTGTGAAAGGTTTCTACTGGCTTTGTGAAACAGAAATAGTTCATCCATCGTATTGAGGACACCGGAAATTTATGAGCCCGTTTCATTCCGATCAGAGAGATTAGGGTGGAGGCAGCAACTGACGTCAATATTCTAAAGCAGTCCTGCAAGATAAAATACCAAACGTTTTTTCTCAACAAAAAAAAAAGACAGCAAACATTTAAAAAATAGTAATGTAAAAGGTACTGCTCAAGATAATCCCATTAATCAGTCCTTCATACGTCTATGGGAATGTTGGATTAATTCTGAATCTTTTTTGTTGTTGCTTGTTTTAGACCATTTATTTATTCCTTAAAAAGATTGGGAGATGTAGATTGGGAGGGTTTGTAGAAATCGAATTAACCTTATCCACCTACAGTGTGTCCTTCCTTTTCTGTAAAAACACCCGTTATTGTTTAATACATCAGGAGTCTACACAGTATAATCCAGGTATTTCCAGATGTACCTTTTATGAAACCATATGTTAAAAATTGAGATCAATTCATTTTGACAACTTCTTCCATTGTTTATTAAAATCGCTTTTGCTGCAGTGTTTTCTCTGAGTAGCCAAGTAGAGACAGATTAAGGTCTTGGGCATAGAAAGGAGTCTCAGAATAGTTCAAAAATCTTTGCCAAGTGATACAAAACTGATGGGTCCACTGCTTATTTTATTTTCTTCAATCTAACGAACTACGCTGTATTTTTGATCCATTGAAAACATTTTTTCCTGATTTTGTAGTACAGATCTAGCATATTGCTGTATTTCATAATATGCACCATAAGTAACATAAATCTGCAAGTAGTCAGTAATGCAGAAATTTTAAACACATCAAAAAATGTTACAATACTTTTTCCAGAGAATTGCATAGACTATTAAGCCTCTAAGAAAAAAATGAGTCAAAATTACTCATTTTAAAAAGATTTCCTTTTCAGGTAACTCTAATTAAAATGCTCCAGAACTAAGGAGCAAACATCCAGATGTTAATTGAGTGATTGGTTCAAGCTGTGAAAAACAGCTGAGGGGTGGCTCATTTAGAACTCATTAAACCAATCCAATCTAGCACTGAGAGAGAATGAACACTTTAATTAATCTTTACTTTTCTTGTATCTGTCTTCAGAATGTTCTTACCTTTAAATTAAAGAATACTCGGCACGGAATGATTTATTTTGCGTGGAAATACCGAATTTCATTTTTTGTCCCAGGATGTATTGCATTGTTTCACAAAATCCTTTTCTTTGGCCATAGCTGTAAAGTTGTCAAGAGCTTTACTGAGTCTGTTTGTATCGGTCATTAAAAGGGAATCTATTTAAATATATAGTATTGGGAATGAAGAATGAATCACATTAAGGTTTTTTTTCCTAGGATTAAACATCTACCACAAAGTAAAAATACTTTGTGTGTGCAAGGTGGATATCTTTAATCGTTATTTTGTAGGCAATACAGAATACCCTGTTATGCTTTGTAAGCCTATTTAGCGGTTAACCAGAAGGCTTCAGATAAATATATTGTAATAAAGTATGCTCTCTGATATTCTGTCTTTCTTTGGAGCATTTTCTTTGCTTAAGTACAGGTGTGTGTAGTGTTGCTTAGAAACTGGTAACCTCAGAGGTTCAAACACAAAACACAGTCGACATTAAAAGTTTAAAAACTTTAACTTGATATATAATTACAACTAACTACCAGTGTTTTTTCCTATTATCGCCACTCCACCAGCCAGTTTTCTCAACATGAGTAATAATCTTTAACAGATCTTGACTGGCAACAGACAACATTAAACGTGCTGCCAAACAAGGTTGTGATTATTAGTGAATGCGGTCCTTAATGTTCAAACACAAGTTACAGAAGATTAAAATTCAAAGAAAAATGTATAGCATTTATTCCAAATAACAACCCCCCACTGTTCTAAATTATTATTATATAATAAGAAACATTGTCTTATTTTTCCAATAATTGAAATGCAGTGAAAGTTTATAAAGATAATAATTATCTCCATTATTATGTCCTTGCATCTGTCTTCATCATCATCATCTTTATTTTATATAGCACCTTTAAAGGTGGCTTCTCAAAGTGCTTCATAGAATGATAACAATTTAAAAAAAGAATACACAAGATAAAACACAAATACAATACACAGAGGAGACTGTGGAGTGTGGTACTAAGTATAGTAGGAGCAGAGGGGTAAAGAATGGAACCAGTTAAGTAAAGGCTCTTCTAAAGAAGGTTTTGAGACTGGATTTGAAGGAGTGTAGAGAAGGCGACTCTCTGATATCCTTGGGGAGAGAGTTCCAGAATTTGGGGGCATAACAGGAGAAGGCCCTGTCACCCATACAATGTAGATGGGCTTGGGAGACACTAAGGAGACCAGAATTAAAAGAGCGAAGGTTGCGAGGTGGGGAGTAGGGCAATAATAGTTCAGACAGGTACTGAGGTGCCAAGCCATGCAGAGCCTTATAGGTGAGCATGAGGATTTTAAGGTCCACACGGAATTTGACAGGAAGCCAGTGCAAGGACTCCAGGATAGGAGTAATGTGATCACTTGTACTAGACCTGGTTAGGATTCTGACTGCCGAATTTTGGACATACTGCAGTTTGTTCAATGTGGATTTAGATACCCCGGCGAGTAGAGCATTACAGTAATCAATTCAGGAAAACACAAATGTGTTGACCAGCTTTTCAGCTACACTTAGTGATAACATAGGGCGCAGACTCTTGTGTTGCTTTACTCCAGCTAAGTGTGCTGTCTAGTCTGTAATGGAAGCCTTTGGCAATATTTTAAAAGTGAATAATGTTCTTCCTGTTTATGCTCAAAGAAGAAAAAACCCAAATCCAATAATCCTGAAAAGCACATGACATATGTCACAAAGTGGAAAAAAAATAGGTGTGAGGTAAGAGGTGTCAGGGGCTGTGTTGACTTTAAGTTTGCATACAATGGCCAGTGCCTCTGTATGTTGGCTGCATTCGTCTTTCCTAGTTCTCTCATTAATCAAAGGTCCTTGTGTCGATACTTGTTAATACCACACATTTCAAAGGTGATGGGGGGGATTGTGAGACAGGTCTAGCGCCTCGGATTGAGGGGGCGGCTCCAGCACAGGGTTCAAAGACAGTGCAATCGTAACACCTCAATTTCCCTTCAGGGTCAATAAAGTCTTATCTATTTATCTACACTTGGCCATCAGCATGCAGTCAGTTGGTCGATGAGCCCTGAGGAGCTGGCTCTGCCCACCCTTACACATCAAAGGGACAGGTCCATCCCCAAGAGGAGGGAGTCCTGTTCCCTGGTTAGGGGAACTTCAACAACCCCCATGATAAGGTCTTGCTAGGACACAGGGACAGAAGAAACTGGGTGGACTGGAGGACTTGGATGACCGAGAGAAACAGAGGAGCGCCCCCCGGCTTTGTCTTCCTCTCTCCTCCACCCAAAACTGGACTCGGGAGATAAATCATCAGGGATCGTATCGTTTGGGACAGCCAAGACTGGAGAGGATGCCTAAGAGCACACCGCGTTTCTGCTCTGTGACGGGAAAAGGCATGCAGGGTCACCAACTGGAGTTATTTTTAGAGAATGACGCTGCGGGACTGCTCTTCTGGGACGCTGGATTTTGGAAACTAGGGTCCCCTTGTTTCTTCTGCTTGTTTATGAGTGTATGTCCCTTGCGGATAATTTGTCTCATCTGTTCTGTACGATCTGTAAATTGTATTGTAAATTGCCATTGTGTAATATATTATATCCAAATGTTAATCTAATCCCTATAAATTCTGTCGCTCTTACGAGCTCGCTGACAAAACATTTCATTGCCGACAACACCGCTGTATGCTGTACTGTTCGTGCATTGATAAATGCACCTTGATTGATTGGATTGTTCTGTGCATCAGGTGGGCAGCTGTATAAATAGTTGTGTTATGGGGATACGTTTGTGTGATAAGTAGATTGGTAGACTGGGGTATTATGTAAGATAAGTGTTTTTTTGTCTGGTCTGTGAGTGCCCTGGTGGCGCAGGAAGATAAAAAAAAGACCTGCTACGGGGAAAAGGGGCACACCTTTAAAATTGATAGGTGGCGTAGTTGCTGTGTTTAGATGTCATCACCCGTGATACAGTGTGAGAAAAGCAGGAGTTTCGCCACCTTTTGTCGCTCGACGCTTTCGAGTACAGTACTGTGAGTCCGTTGCGCCATCTGGTGGGGATTAAGCTAATTTCGCACAGTTTCTGCTTTGATCTTTGGCGAGCTGCCTGATGCAACGTAACGTTTAGGGGCGCACGTCACAAACTTGGATTTTGTATTTAGTAGCTGAGCGTCGCCATTACCAAATTTCCCGATCTTATTTATACAGGCTGGCCAGCTAGCTCTTTTATCTCCCATACGTTTAGTATAAAAAAGCTGTACTTGTAAGGAGCAGATGAATAAGAGTTGCTTCGCGGTATGGTATTGGTGAATGTGTCCATTCACTACAGGAGACTGGAAGCTTTCAGTTAGGAGAGCAGAAGAGCGGTAACCAAGACACTCTCTTAGTTTAAGTAATCGTGGGACAAAGAAAACACTGAAGCTAACCGTCTCTTTATAAAATTCCTTCTTTACTGGTCGGTAAAAATCTATTTGCTA